GAGAATGGAAAAACGACCCATCAGATCCATCAGACTCAGGGAAACAAACTAAAGGGTTAGATTGAGAGCATTGAGAGGGCAACTAGATGCCATTAAAGCTTCAAATCGTAAGTAAATTCTAATATTTGGTTATATGCCCGGTATTTTTTATTCAAAAGAAGGGCATACATGTTTAGTTTGATAGCTTGGGGAATTTTAAGACGCAAATTTCCGAGTTTTTCTTCAATATAGCTTCTATGTATGCATTAATAACTCCTTCATCTGGCTGTCAGTTAAAATTTGAACGGCTACCATTGACGCATTTGGCCCATAACGACAACTAAACTTGAAAAACAAATGTCAATTGATGTCAATAGCAGGCTGAGTTTACATAACACAACAACAAAAGCCCAAACAACAACGTAAGTCTCGTCTAAATTGAAAAGCTTTACACTCGTGTCCATGCCCGTACCACACACTATCAGCTATCTGTAGCTGAACAAAAAGGTTGACAAATATTTATAACAAAGACGAAATCGAATTGACGTAAAAGGGTACAAAAAAATTAACAATTCAATTTAAACTGACTGGTTGTCTGGGCTAACTGAATGGCTGACACAAAAGCAGCTGCAGAAGGGTAAACCAAATAAAATGACGCGCCCAAAACGAATGAGCAATGGTGGAAAAAAGCAACAAAAGCAGCCATTTTATAGTGCATATACATACATAAGTATACTCGTATACTATATGTGAAAGGCACAGGGGAACCATGCGGCGCGACATTTTCATTCACAATCAGCATTGGCAAAGGTTGACGTACACTCTTGACAATGGCAATCGTTTGTTTTGCTACCAATTGTTGTCTTTTGCTGTTGCCACTGTCATTGTTACTTTTTCTTTTTCTTTTGACAATTGTTTTCTTTTACAAACACCCGCAGACAGTTTAATAACGCCCTAATGCTTCCAATGGCCCACTAAAGTTTTGTCATTTGCCAGACGCATAAAACAAAAACAAGAAAGAAGGTCTTGGCGGGACGCGCCATGTAATTAAGTACACTCAAAAAAATAATAGTCATGGAATTATTATTTAAGCTAATGAATTATTAAAACTTCCAAAAGTGGGGCCATGTCTGTTTGTCGAAATGAATGCAAGTATCTTGCACTTTATTTTTTAGCTGAACCCCTAGTCGGGGCTTGTTTCTCAGGCTGACTAATAAATCTTCAAAAGCTTTGTTAGGCAACATAAATAACAGTCACGGGAAATAGAATGTCCTATCAAGAAACTATCGGGATGTGTGTAGCGAGCTAAGCAGGAGTAATAAAAACAAATGGTGTCTCTTATTATTACATTTCAGTTGAACTTAATATGTGTTTAAATCAATTGCAATTATTACACAGGTCAGCAGGAAGCTTTTCAATAAATAAAAAGTTGTTCAACAGACATATTAGGAATTTGGAACATGGCCACTCCCAATGACTTGACAGTAATTGTGACCACATTCCTATGAAAGTTGTTGAGTGATAACCTCACATGGGCAACCTGGCGAAAAAATGCGATGTCGAAAACATTTTTCGTGCCGGCTAATGTCTGTGCACGACTGGGATTGTCGATGGGTTCGCGTGTGTGCGTTGTGCGTCTGCCTTCACAGCGACAGTGAAATCCTATTAAGAAGTTTGCTATCACAAATTAAAATCTAAATACCCCAACAAAGTGAGGGAGGGACGCCGAAGCGAAGGCAGCGACGTTACGTTGTCATTTTGCCTGTCAGCGTGCTCTCCTCTACCTCTCCCCTACCGATGGCTGACATCGCGTGTTGCTGCTTCCATCGTGAATTATAAGCTTCCGAAAATTTAATAAAGCTTCCACCGGCGAAAGCGGGGCGAATGCATTTGTCTAAACAGCAGCAGTCTAGGACAATGCCACCAAACTTAGGGACAGAAGGGGGGCAAAAGAGCTGTGACTCAAGGCTACAGACTGCCATCTGTGTCGATATGGCTTCACACTTATCATGCTCCGAACGAAAGGGATGAAGGATCTGCATACTATATTTGTGAATTTAAAATATGGCATTACAGCAAATACAAGTACCTACACAAAAAATAAAAACTGTCTTTATTTGAAACTAATGCCAAGCATATGAAACACGCATAAGAACAGCCATACAACAACTTATAATTTAGTTGAATTATTGAAGTGTTTCGAACAAAGCTGCTAAAATTGGAAGTAATATTTTAAAGCGTTTTTAATTTCGCATAAATGACGCAGATAGATAAAAAATGTACAATTTTTTTTGTGTTTTCTGTATTGTAAATATAATTGTGGAAATGTGAAATAAATAAGTGTAAATGATTTATGGCCAATTAAATCAATTTAATTTTGTTTATAATTGCGAATGAAAACCAAAAATTACAATCAAATAATGACAAAGCAAATTATATATATATATATATATATATATATATATATATATATATATATATATATATATATATATATATATATATATAATATAATATATATATATATATATATATATATATATATATATATATATATATGTTTAAAATAATGGTTCAACACCAAACGAATGATGTAGAGTCATTAATTGCTACAACCAGTCTTAGTTATTCATTTAATTTTCCATGTTGACTTCCATTAACTGGTCAAACAATTGTTTTTATGCTTTGATATAAAAGTTTCATTTATAGAACTTTACAAGGAAACGATATTTAATTAATTTAGAAAGTAGTTACTATTCTTAAACATACGAGTATACCCATTTATTACTAATATGTCACAAGTCACTAGGAACTCCCATCAAATGAATTAAGGATTAATGATAAATGAATGTTCAATCAAGGTGGCAAAGGCAGGAAAAGAAACACGTCATGTAATTCAAACAACTAGCGCATGTAGGGCACATTAAATAATTGACAAACATTAGCCAAGTTTAAGTTGTTTTAAAAGCAATGTGGAGTTAGAATCCACATATGCTCTAAATGATGTAGAAGTTGTTTTATTTCGTAAGCTAAACTTTCCGTGCATGCGAATGTGCACAAGTAGTTTCCACTTAATATGCATATTGAAGGAACGAAAGGCAGCAGCACTCGTATTCATAAATGCACGAAGTTCTGAGTGCATTACATCGCAAGCAGCAATCGGCGGACCACAAGCCGCAGTTGTGGCGTGTATGGCAAGTGCAGTTGAAGTCTGGCGAATCGTTTTATCTTAACAACTCGCACCAATGTGCAGAGCTGCCCAGACACAGTCGTGCATGTGCATGTGTATGTGTGTGCCAGCATATATGTGTTTGTGAAGTCTGCATTTGTGGCAGAGTGCGGCGATGACTTGAAGTGACGGGCAAACAAAAAGTGAAGTCTACTTTCCGGCGCTCCTATTAAGTGCTCGGTCGAAATTGCGATGAAGTGTATATAGTAGGATGGCGTGGGAAATGGGCGTCATGGCTGCGTCATTTCTGATGGGCGTGTATCTAAGTGCGTTCGTCTTCGCCTAAGGCAGTGTCCGATGCTAAGTCAAAACTATACGCGTATCGCCTTAACAATAAATAGATGTGGCGTCCATGCGACAAATGGTCAGTAGGTGTTCGTATAAATGGGCGTGGACGTGGACTCCAACAAATAAAGACACGCAATCCGACTATAGAAGGGACGTTCTGCGATGGTGGCATTTGTAACAGTAAGTCCCTTTCGGGTAAAGCGATAAATTCAGTACTTTGGACGGCAATGTACTTACATATGTATATAAAACACGATTTTTAAAAGGAATAAGTGCCTTACTGGGAAAACAAATAAGTTAAAAAGTTACTGTAATAGTTATCTGTGCCACATTTGCAGTTGCAAATCTGTTAATTGCAAAAAAGTTGATTAGCGAAAAAAGTTCACTCCAGTACTGTCCACATTTCTACGTAAACCAAACTCAGTATGTAGACTCTCCTAATATCAAGACAACACGTGTTTATTTCATTTTTGGATGATGGCAAATGAGAGTACAAATTCGTTAGCATATGAACATTTTAGATAGAAATACTACTTTTCTATTTAAATTAATATATTACTAAGTAGTTGATTTCCAAATGTTGGATCAATTATGTGTTTCATTTATGTATATATGTAGATTAAATGATGATATTAAGTATATCCTTCTGCCTGTTTTTATGCCAATTAGCATCTTAGTTTCAAAGCTATAGCTACATTGCAGATCATTTATCAAAACCAGGTGGATCGAGAGCTCATCCAAGTTTAGGATAACTGTTATGTTTTCAAAACTGTCCCAATGAAACATGAAATATGGTTTTGCAATTTTGATGAAAGAAGGGGGAAAAGTAAATATGTTAAATTATTTCCCCATGTGTACATATTCTGTGTGTCATTCTTTATTCGAAATGTGTTCCCTCTGCCTTCCAATTCTCACATTTCTCACTTTAAATGACAACGACTCCACAAACCCGAGGAGCTTTTTTCTAAGTTTTGTTTATAGTTTTTGTGCGGTTGTTGGTGCATTATCCATCATCACTAACATGTCTTGCATTTCAAATAGAGAGCCCTGAAAACGCTCTCCTGCTCCCCACTGCGCCGTCACGACTTTGGCTTTGCCCTTAGGTAATTAAATACGCTACAAATTGTTGCTTTTGCTGTTCCGGATCCAGTAGTTACTGCTGCTGCTACTGCTGCTGCTTATGGCAATGTTTGTTTTTGCTTTCTGTTTGCTTCGCGGTAAAAAGTGAGTTTGCTCAATGTTTACTCTGAAAAATAAATTGTATTGTTTGCCGTTTTGCCTTTTACAAAAATAATAATTGTATAACGCATACTTAAGTCAATAATTATGTTATTTCAGTTGTGATGGTGTGGAAAGGAAACAAAAACGCTGCGAATAAACAGTTGGTTATTTAGATTTCAAAATTGAATAATTAAATTTTTTTTAGAAGAACTTTGTACGATTAATGGGTGTGTGTGGTTAAAATATGACTTATTCTTTATTTTAAGAATGAAAGCGGGTTCCAAACTGTTTATCAAAATATTACTATAATTATAAGGAAGTAATTTTAATGATAAGTAATTAAATTTATTTGATGTTTTGAAGGGGGAAAGGGAGGAACCGGAGTCCTATTCTTGCAATTGCTCAGTATTAATGTACTTCACCACCACGCTTTTGCTTCAATGAATGGGTTTTAAAATTTTTAAAATTTTAGCTTGGCTCAGTTGCACAATTAATTAGCTTTTGAATAAACATTGTAACATTTTTTTAATTAACATTTTTAACGGTAAATAACAAATCTGACGATCACAATTCTGGGTGCATTAAAGTCAAATAAATAATGATTATGAAATTAACATAAAAGTTCTCCCTCTTTGCTGTTGTCATCGTCCAATGCAATCTGCGCACTGGCGGGGCCCCAATTGTTGTCTGGCCTGCAGGCATCGCGTACTTTCTGAACAAATATAATTGGATGACAAACAATAAATGCCTGCTGCCGTAATATACACTCACCTGCCAGAAAGTGTGCGTCTTACGCTGCTTTATGATGGCATAAAGAGCCCAGCCTGGTATCTGCAGCAGGCCAAATGTGGCCAGGGTCCAGCCAATCCCTTTTGGGTGCAGCACAAAATGAAAGCAATTCGAAACAAAATGGAATAACAATTGTTAGGTCTTACCATGGGCCAGGCGTGGATATGCGACTCCCTTGTATGTGAGTTCGGTCATGTCCACCAACATGTAGAGTAGCACGGCCGTCATTAGGCCCGGCGTAATGTAGGCCCAACACAGCCGCCAATACCAGCCCGTTTCAATGCCCATCATGAATTTGATATCCGCACAGAAACGCCGAAGGCCTGTCGACAGACAAAATGTAAGTTAGAGAAACAAAAACTAAGCAGGTCGGGCAGAACGAACCATAAATCCAAGACACGGCCAACAGCTCGCCAATGGCCAGTATCAGAGCGGTAAATGAGACGCCGTAGAAATCGACCAGATTCAAAATAAATTGACCACCCGGTGTCATATAGACAATGCTAACGGCAAAGCCCAGGACAGCCAGACCGCTGGCGAGCATCCAGTTGGGCGGTGCACGGTGCTCCCAATGGTCACGGATGACGCGCACAATGCAGGATCCCATGCCGACAGTGCTGCCGATGCCTAGAACGAAGAGCATGAGGAAGAAAAGGACCGCGAACACCTTTAGGTAGTTTTGTTTTAGAGCGCACAAGGCGCACGCCGAACTCGATACGTACCTGTGGAACATATTCGAACTTGGCAATGGCCTCCGGATACGAGATGAAGGCCAGACCAGCACCGCCCTTCACCACGCTGCCGATGTCCGTAATGCCAGTTTTCTGTGCCAAATTGCCCAAAATGCCAAAGGTAATGCAGCCAGCAAAGATCGAGGAGCACGAGTCCATGGTCGTAATGATAACAATATCCCTAGAATCGAAACAAGCTTAGTTCTAATAAAAAGCCACTCAATTCGATTATGTTATGTCCTACTTGTAGACATTCCGATTGAAATTGTTGTAAGAGGCGTAGGTGATGAGTGTGCCAAAGCAGATGGCCAAAGAAAAGAAGACCTGGGTGACAGCCGCATACCAAACCAGTGGATTTAAGAGCTCTCGCCATTGCGGTTTAAAGAAGTAGATGATGCCGTTGATAGCCCCCGGTAGGGTTACAGCTCGCAGGAGCAGCACTACGAGCACAACATAGGGAAATATTCCGAGAAAATAGGCAGCCTTGCCACTGCTCTTGATGCCCCTGACCAGCACGCCACCAATTACCAGCCAGGAGAAGGCCAGGCAGGCAACCAGCTGCCAATTAGGCATGCCTAGGCCACTGTCAATGTTGGGCAGCTCGTGCAGGATCTCGCGTCTGTTGAGGAGAGGAAAGAAATAAAGAAGGTTGCCAACAACTAATTGGAACCCAAAAGTGTCAGCTTCACCCTTTGCAGAAGAATGCATTTGACTAGGATTTGATAACAGAGTAGGCCCTCAATTATGTTCAGCTTTGTTTTTGTCTACTTGACAAAATGGAATAAAGCTTACGCAATTATGCACTGCACAGAAAAAGGATCACTATAGGCACCGAAATTTCCGAGCAAACACTATTAATCTAACAGGCATCTATATAGGGTACAATTTATAATATGTTTTGAGTGGCACTAAAACTTGGGGCTGCTGAACTGCTGTTCTACTTTTTACCGATCACTACACTGAAAAAAGGAACGAATGATTAATTCTATTCAGATTATGCTTGTATTTAAAAAGTGCCGTGCTTGGTATTTTTAAGAATTCTTCGACCTTCAGACAATATTTAAATCAATTGACGTTGTACACAAACTTGAAACTTAAATATAACTTTTACGGAAAAATAATTTTTAGACATATCGATAACATCTTGAAGGTCTTATTCATATGTTCAGAAAATATAAGATGTAATATTGCTTTAATCGCGTCTAAAATAATAAGAATAAAACGTGCAGGAGACTAAAGTTAGTTTTTAAGTTTGGGATTTGGTATTTGAAAGAAGTATTGTACGTGACAGAATTATATTTTACTCGGCTTTAAAACGAAACACTTGCTATTTTTGCGAGTGTTTAAGTCAATCGATTGTTATAAAATTGTTATAAGATAGGCAGCAGAACTTCTTTTGGGTAGAAATGAGGCCATCAATTTTTTTCGAGGCACATTAAATAAATAAAAGATTGCTTACTCAAAGTACAGCTGGGCTGGGGACATGAGACTGCTGTTGCTGACATTGGATGCGTTACTCTCATAGCAATCGGCCCCCCAATTATCGTGGCAGTAGCTCCAAGGGAGAACGGCGCTAAATGAAGCGAACAGAAAGCGCAGTGTTAACGCCATAATGCTCGAATAGTACGTGATGGAGGCTGTGGTGGCCAGGACCTGACCCGCAGCAACACCCTTCAGCACAGGCGCCATATCGAATGCGCGGAGCACACCTGAAATGTCAAATGGTTCTGTTTCTGGTGTGCACAGAAATTTTGCAATATTTACCCCTTCCGCTGAATTGGCCCACCACAATCTCCAGGTAGTAGACCGGCCTCCCAATCACCAGCAATGCGATGAAGTAGGGTATGACAAAGGTACCACCACCATTCTGAAAGGCAATGTACGGGAAACGCCATATATTCCCCAGGCCCACAGAGAGGGATATGCAAGAGAAGAGAAACTCCAAGCCACTACCCCACTTTTCGCCTGGCTGTGTTGCGGCCTGCAACTTCGGGTTACTACAAGTATAGGCTTGCTTCATAGCCACTTAGATTTTGATGCGCACACTTTGAAGATTCCACCTCGACTGATGTTTAGCCACAGCTGCTATTTGTGCGGTCGTTTAACTAACCGCAAAGATTTGTCTGCCCTTCCTGCTTCAATGTCAGCGCTTTATTCAATTGTCGTCGGTTGCCGGATTGCGTGGCTTTGTAATTCGCGTATCTGGTTCTATCTAGTCTGTTGCTGCTGCTGCTGCTGCTGTAATCAAGTGCAGTGGCCGAGCTGTTTGCTTCAGTTTATTTTATTTAATTGGCACTAATCGGAGGTGCTAAGTGCGCACAGCAGCGTGCCTTAAGATTCAATGGAAGCACTTAGTAGTAGTAAGAATAGAGGTGCAAAGTCGTTGGATACGGTCTATTAGTCTACGGGTTTATTGATATTTGTGTATATTTGCTGCGAAAAGCACGAGTTTAGCGCTTCGCCTGGATGCTTGTCAGCCTGTCTGCACGTCTGCACGTCTGCTTGTTTGCTACTATGTCTGTTAATTTTAAGCCAATTCAGCGTAGAACGCTGCACATTTGACAGCAAAGAAAGTTTTTAATATTTTGCAAGAGTTTTCTAATTAACAAGCGAGTAGAAGGCGGTAAAGTTACGGCAGCAGTAGCAGCAGGATTCTGGCAGTAAATTGCAATATTCAGGAAGAACTGGGACGGGTTGGGCACATAATCGAGCAAGATATTACGGCTTATGACTTACAAGTGGGAATCGCGCAACAGTCAAGCCAGTTGAACGTTCATTACGGTGACAGTTTTAAATGGGTTTTTGAGAAACTTTGTGAATTTATGGCAATTAAATACTTTCATATCTCTCGAGTCAACTTGCAGTAACAACTTTCTCCATACAATGTTGTGAATTTAAGACAAATGTCGATTACCTTCATTTAAAAAGCCATCACAAGTTTGCAACTCAAGTACTGTGCAGCAGATGTCAGTCGTCAATGAATTGGTGTTAAATCTCTGCAGTAGCTGGGCCAGACAGCCAAATACTCAGTCTAATTATTTGATTAGATACAAAATATTTAATAATAATGATCATTCATGTACCTATTTTGCAATACATTTTAAGGTGATTTTAACAAATGTTTCCACTTAAGTGGCTTTCTAATACATACTAATAATATGCTTTATTTGAGTGCCTCGGCCACGGGAGAAAGTCAAAACTCAAAACTTTTCATATTTATTGAACGCGACTAGTGCCTACAAGAACTTCTCCCTTAGTTCCTATAAACAAATACTTGTATGTATACGTATAGTATATTCATACATGTGTAGGTAGGAAACATAAAAACTACACAATTTGTTCTCCCTCCACAAGTTTCATTTCAATTATTCATAAACTTTATATTGTTTTTATTATTGACTTGAAAATTGCATTGTCAGTTTGTTGAACATGTTTCGATAAACACAAATAAATTATTAATTAGTGAAAATTAAACATGGATTCGGCAATTCGCTTCACTTTACTTGTAAAATGCATTTATGGCAATTGTTGTAAACTAAATTCACTTGTTCTGCCAAAAACTCAATATTAATGATGTTTTAATTCAGTTACCCAGATGAGTTGCATAAATAAATTATTTGCATGCGAATAAATAACTATTTATTGTTCGTCAGTAAATGACAAAAGCTAATTTAAATGTAAGTCAGTGAAGTTGGTATTTTTCAGTGATAAATTGTTGGCGTTCTGTCGCAAATTGTAAAATAAAACACGTTTTGTGCGACTTAGCATTTAACTAACTAGCTAATAAGTAACTACAAATTCAACATTATTTAGATAAGCGAAATTGATTGCATGTTTGTAAAATAGCAGACTTCCTGATTAGGCGTGAAAAGTCGTCATCATGCTGATCATATAAGTACCTACATACAAGTATACTTTTATATGTACTCATATCTATATATACATTTGACGTTTAGGCCTTATATTAAGCCCACAGCAACTTGTCATGATAGGCTTACCAAGCACTTAAAGGTTTTAATTAAGATAAAGGTGTTAAGAGCAGGAAAGATGATGAATTTCAAATTCACAGCCAATGGAATTATGAAAGAATACTCGTAGTTGTGAGATGAATTGAGCCTTAAAGTTCGTCGTGAATGAGATGAAGCCTTGGAGGGCTGGTAAATGGCTAAAGCTAAGGCTACAGCTGAGAAAGCTTAGTTAATGATTTTAAATAAATGATTTGTTAAATTGTTGATGCTACCATTCCACTTGTGTAGAATGTAGCAAGAAAGTTAGCTGAACATATACACAGCAATGATAGAAATAAGTTTTCCCATTTGGCATTTGCTCAGCAGCCGCAGTTACGCGTGTACCAATTATTGGCAACTGCAACTACAACTTCAGCTAACTTGAGTGCACTTTGCTGAGCTATGCACACAATGTTGTTGGCGCGCCAAATGTCAAGGGAAAAGCGAAACAAGTGTTTAACCCAGTTTGTGGCACTACAGGGATCTGCCTCCATCTCGGCCTCGATACCGTGAAGCATTTAATTCTCTTGTTCGGATCGAGTCATTTTGTAGAACGCAGGAATTGTTCCTCAAGCTGGTGGAAACTTGCCAGTTGTGATTGTTGGCAGCAATTTGTTCTTGCAATGGCCGCACGCAATTGTTGCAGTACTTGTACTTAGCTTTTTTGTTTTTTGTTTTCGTTCGCCTGTACTTCAGTGGACGTCCAGTGCACAGTTATTAAGATGAAAAACAAAAAACAAATCGATTATACGAGCCCTAACATGATAACTCGACATGTGCGGGTGCGGGGAATTGGTTGCCGCAACACAAAAGTTTTTGGCACAAAAAACAAACTTTAAATGGACATCGAAAGGCAAACTAAAGCTGCCTCGCATACTTCTAGACATTCCTCTTTTTTTGCCCTCAGCCCACAACTACATACACGTACATAGTACAATGGGCAACAATAGAAGCGCCGGAAAGTGGCAACAACAAAGTAAAAGCAAAAGGGAGCAGCTACAGAAAAAATAAGGGGAAGAGAAAAACAGAATACTGTTCAAGCCTCGACTCCAAAAACTTTGGCGCTTTTAGATCACAAAAATGATAAGCTGCTGTTGCTCTTCTTCATAGTTATAGTATTACAGTGTTGTCGTATCCCCCTCTATGATTTTCCATTAAACGTTGGCCGGAAAAACAGACGCATATGGCAGTGGTTTATACGAGATGCGGCCAGAGAATAGAACAAATTACTAAACAGCATTGAGCTTACCACAGAGCGTATGAATTTTAAAACAATCCCATGCCAAGTTGTTGCATGAAATAGGTGCATTCCGACATTGTCGGCGGCTGCGTGCTGCATGCTACTCCAACGTTTTTCACGTTTTCCATTTAAGTTAATGCTGGTCTGAGCGTATGGGTGTACCTTGGCTTTGGGCTATAACTTCGGCTCGTTGCCTTTTCCTTGGCACCGACGTGCCGTAATGCGAGTTTAACAACTGAATTGTTGGCTGACATTTAAATTTGCTACACAATTTGCATTTTTTTCTTTTCGTTTTGTTTAGTTTTCCAATTCCTTTGCGCCCTCCCAGCACTACCAACTTCAACTCCAACCCAAATCTCAACCCCCACCTCGAGGTGTCAACACTTGGCCCCGTCACTGCGGTCTACAATATATATACATATATGTATGTATGTATGTATCTATCCCCAAGTAGGGTGGTGGCTTTGTGCGTCTTTGTGTTCGTGTTAAAAAATTTATGCAAATAATAAGCATTCACAGCACACCGGATGTTGGTGTCTCTATTACTTGCTTACAACGTCTAATTTTTGCGAACTTTTGTCAAGAAATTTTCTCCGACTGTGGCGCATTCGTGTTTGAGTTTTATGGCCGCATAGTTTGTGTTCACTCCTCGCCACGACTCGCCCTGCCTCTTGGCAAGCAATTTAAACTTTTGTGTAATTTAATGTGGCATTTGCCTGCACTACTGCACATGTTTGTTTGCTTTCTCGCTATTTCAATTTGCTTGAACTGAAGCGCACACTTGGCGTATACGTTATAAAAATATTGCCACAATTTTAATTGCACGAATGCCTTTACTTTATAACGCCAACGACCAGGCAATTAAATATGAAGGGTAATTTCATTGTTTCTTTTAGTCGAGTTTTATAGCTGGCCGACTTGGATGAATTAAAAAAATGTCGGCTTTGCCAAACATCTGCAGTAATCGAGAAGACCGGCCCTCAAGCACGTTTCAATTATAAAATATAAAAGGAAAGGTAAATGGCGGACTGCAAGTACTCGACTATACTCAACCAAAGTACCTTTGACCCTTTATAAAGCAAACTTTATACAATAAAAACCAAACATACTTGAACATAGCAGACTTTATTTGTGAAAGAAGGTTGTATACAAGTAGTACCTCAAAGATACATAAAACAAATACAAAATTTGTTTAAGATATTGAAATAATCAAGTACCAAGAGTGATTTTCGGATCCATTTTTCTATTGTAGTTAAATGACAGTTTTGATGAGACCTCTAAATAGCCCGTAAATACCCGAAACACAAATTGTTAGCCATTTAGGACACAAGGCTTAATAAAATGTTAGTTTAGATCGAATCGCATTTATGTATCAACAAAAAAATGCCTGTAAAGAATTTTTTGTTTATGACTATATTGAATTAATCATTCATTCGATTTTGTGGATATAACCATTGATGTTGCTCGGACTACTACATCATACAGTTTCAAAAATTAATATATCTCAGTATGCTATCTAAAAAGGGATAATATAGCTTTGCAATTGTATGCTAAAGCAGAGGAATTAGATTATTTAGATGAGATGCACACATATTTTTGTTGGTTTAATAGTCAAATAACTAAATAAATTCCTTTCCCATAATTGCCATTACCAGGTTTGCCCCAATCTACAGAGTACGATAGGAAAGTTCATTTTGAAGTGCTTCGAGTTTATTGCGAATTATGGAAATGCTTGGAATAACAGAAAAGTAGCCAGACTACATTATGAATTTGCCTTTAAAGGAAAGGCAATCGCAATTTGCATATCAAGTGAATGCCAAGT